AGGCTTGAAACAGTTTCGAATGCAATGCCTGCTACAAGCCACTGTGTTGTTCAGCTGCCTTCGCTAGTATATATGCTATAAACTGCAAACCTTGCCAAAATTGAAACACATCAGCAAAGCTTTGAAATGCCCCCTTTGTAAAATGCTCTAGTCCCATCGTTACAATGTTGTCAGATTTCGCGGTGCCTGAGAGCTGCATGCAAAATTAGAATTTTACAAGGGGGTGAGGGTCAGAAGGTTGGAAACAACATTGATATTCGAGAAGGTAGTTTCTGACTTACTTTGTCTGTTCCAACTACATGTGTTTATTATATTTGATGAAGAGTGCAGTCATTTTTTTTAAGCATAAACAGACTCAATGTTAAGTTGTTCATCCAATATTAAACTTCAATGGTTAATTTATTTGTTACACACTTTAATTTATAAGAATATAATATTACTCTTAAATTATTCTTAAGAGCAAAATCAAATCTTTACTGCAATGCAAAGCAAAATCAAGTCTTTTTTCATCACAAAAGTATTGAAGGGAACCAAACATACTAGCACAATACAAGCTTGATTTGTTCTTCGGCACATTGTTCTTCAAACTTTTTTCTTTGAAATTCAGCATTGTCTTGTTTGCATTGTCTTGTTTGCTCAGAGCACTTAAATAAATAGTCAAATTTTCGATGAAATTTTATCAGTGGTAATTTTGCTATAGGCACGCAACAGTGATTGTTCAACTGTACCGGTCTTGTGCTTGCGTTTTTCTGATTGGCCTATTTCGATCCACAACTGGGTATATATTTTTCATCGTGTTCTTTCGGGCCTTCATTCTGACGTTTAATGTTCTGAGGAGTGTCTGACGAAAAAGGCTTTAGTAAATATGTTGTAAACTGTTTGCTTTTTTCAAAGCCATAAAATGTTATCCTTGCTGTAATTTTTAATTAGTATATTTATCTTTATCTTAGAAAATATTTTATTCCTATAGAAAGTGTGTTGTATATGCAACAAGTGGTTTTTCAACATGACTGCTAGAGGAGCTTTAAATATAATATAAAAGCAGATTTTACGAAAGAGATGCTGAAATCCCGTAAAAAATTTGTCCATTAAGCCTTTAGAAAAATTTTAAGTACTTTTCTAATCTCCCTTTCCTTTGAAATTGTAGATAATAAATGTTAGCTTATTTGTGTATATTTCAATTGGGAGAAGTGGGTTTTAACCTTTGGAGTCGAGCAAAGGTGTCAATCATGGGCTTCAACTATAGGCGTTGGTCATGGGGGTCAACCATGCTTCTTCATGAGCCGTGACCAAACTCTAAAACCATGGACTTAAACTATGGGCATCAAACCTGAGGATTCCTATAGAACTCAACCACAGGATTCAATGATAGACCCTTAAAAATGAGCTCTACCAAGAACTTCAACTAGTTGCCCCAACCATGGGCGTTAGCATTGGTCGGAGCATAGACCTCGGCCATAGGCCTCAATGGTTGACCTTATCCATAACCCTTAAACATAGGCCCTACAAATAACCTCAACCAGTGGCCGCAACAATGGGCGCCATGTGCACCAACCGTGGATGCCAACCAGTTGTGTCCTAGAACATTTTTTCAAGAAGTCTCTTGAGAGGTCAGTCGTATTGTCGGTCTCTTTCTTAACTGGTTTGTCCGGCGCCGGATTTAGAGTTTTGCGGGTACTCTTCTTTTCCCAGCAGGGTCCCACGCAGTTCTGTCACTTTAAGGCCAATCGTGTGATATGCAGCTTGTTGATGTCCATTGGCAGTGTTACCAACATTTTAGTTAAAGTGGTCAAATCGCTGCCTTTCACCTTGCAAAATCATGCGCATGTGCAGAGGCTACTATTCATTACTCTTTTTATCGTTATTATTATTTTTATTTTTAGTAATTAATTATTTGATTTAAAGTTGGCTATTTGAAATCGCTAGAACAAAAGCTAATTTAGGCCCACTTTATAAAAAGCGTTAATATACAATTTAAAAGCAATCAGCTATAATCATAAAGACTCTTAACCAATTTATAAAAATTTCGCAATTGATACAGTTGCGGAAATTTTCATATTTGTTGATAATTTTGACAAAACATTTTGGCCCATAAACCTGACTGTATTTGTTCCATAGTATATGGTTATCACTTTTTATCATACTCAGGTGCTTTGTAATCACATTTCATAAGATTTGCTCAGTTAGATCTTTCATAAACAATATTCAAAAGAATCTATCCTTCTTCGAATTTTTTTACTGTCGAGTTTCATTCCAGGTCTTCAATGTTAACCTCGTCCAGTTGCTGACTTGCAGTAGTTTTTCTTGTACGTCCTTCCCTCCTTCTCGAATATGCTTTCTATTATGCTGTCAGGTTTGGAATAAAAAATCATTGGCTATAACTTCTCTACGATTTGTTTTTTGCATATAACAACTACACTCTTTTTTTTCTCAATTTTCCCAAAACTTTCAGATTGGATTGTACTTTTTTCCTTCTAAAGCTATTAGGATGTTAGCAATGTAGTAGCTAGCTATTGTACTCAATGAGTTCTATCTTTAAAAATTTGCCGACAAAAAACCCTAGTTGGCAAAAACCTTTTTGTTTTTAAGACGAAATTTTTTCGAAAGGTTTTAAAATTTTGTTCAAAATTAGATTTTACAGTAGCTCAGCTTCTGCTTGTTCTTAATTTGTTTAAGCTTTCTAACCATATTAGAGGATCGTGCTCTTACGATAATGGTCTTTATAAGAAAGGCTATATGTGATTTCATATAATTTTTTTTCGGGCGTCATCGAAAATGCATTGGATTTGCATCCTGTTTTTTCTGTCAAGAGAGTTGCTGTTTTCTATAAATATTTCGGTTTCAAATTAGTCCAAGTTTTGAATAAGCCTCTCTGGAATAAGTCCCTTTTTAGCTTTTTAGCATCATTACCCCTGGGGCTTAATAGAATCTCTACGGTATTTAAATTTGCATGCTATTCATTTCCCCAATGGATTCCACTTCTTTTTTGCTAACCTTGTCAACCTGTCTTTCTGTTCCTTCCAATTCACCTTTCTTGTCTTCATCTTTAAAGCTCGATTTCTTCAGAAAGATTAATTTTCTCTCTGCCCTTCGCATGAACCAATTCAAGTAATCCGCGTATCCATCCAATACCTACCTATGTTCTCATGTTGGACAATTAATTGATAGATTACTTTTTGTTTTCTATCTTTATTTAAAGTTGATACAATCTCTAGCTATACTTTAGCTAATTAAAACCAACTAATTTAAATGTTGCTAGGCAATACTTTCAAGACAGAAACTTGGCGTGTTTTTAGGAACAAAATATCCCACAATTGCGGATAGCTTATCTTAACATCGTCTTTTCACTCAAGTCTATTCTAAAACATGCTTATCACTTTAATTTTACTTTGGTCAAAACATCTACACAGCCAGCCAAATGTCTTAGTACACTACAATTTTTGAATATTTTCTACTGCTTTTCTCTATCCTGTACCCCCCTCCTATTTTATGCAAAGTTCGGCCTAGTTCGTTGGATTCATTTTAGGTAGCTATGATATTCAACTTGAACTTCAACAAAAAAGGGGTGCGGTTTCGATTTTCTTTACAGGAACAAATGACCTTTTTTGGGCGTTCCAAGGACTTTGGCAGTGATTGTAGATAAAATAACCCCTTTAAAAAGAAAGAATGTTTCCTTGTTTTTAAGTCAATATTTTATATCAAATATTAAAGTCAAGCATGGTTTAACAAATGTCCAAAAATTCATACTAGTGAGCCAATGACGCCATTTTGCGAAGTGATTACTTTTTCTTTTATCAAAACGATTTGTCAAAAGCGCAAAGCAGTTTCCGAATTTTTTGATATTTCACTAGATTTCCTGCATGTGTATTGGGTTTTCTTTAGCTGTATAATTGTTAAGTTAACGAACACGTCACAAATGGTGTACATGCTGTGAGCGTGTCTGTCTGTGGTAAAACGTAAGAGCTTAAAAGATTCCGAACTGTTACACGTGGGTACAGAACACTAGCATAAGGCTCGTGCAGCCAGCTGTATCATAATAATATCGAACTCATGGATTGGTTTTTTATGTAGTTTTATTTCCAAGGCTCATCTTTCTTACCTGTTTTATATATTTTGTTATTGTATTTTCAATTTCATTATTAATTAAATAATTACATCATTTTTTTTAAAAATTTTATTGCAAGGACAGTTGGAAAACAGCATTTTAGCTGAATTGATCCATGGAAATGAGAAAGAAAATAATAGTAAAATTGACTTTAAATCAAAGGTGAAGTGAACTGAGAATAGAATTATATGATTTAATCCTAGTTTTCGTCGGGAATAGTAAAATTTCTTTCTTGGTAAAGGTAGATGTGGACTTTCGAAAAGATTCACGTTTTTCTGTCTAACTTTAGACGATAAGTTACAAGCTTAAAGTTTTGCATTGGCGTTAAAAACGAGATAACCTTCGGCAGATACTCAATTTTTCTAACAGATGACTCTATGCAGCAACATTTGTTGCCATTCGCCTTGAAATTCAAATCTGAGGTGGTTGAGGTTAAAACTTCTTTAAGTTAAAATGCGAACGTATGTACAGCGAACTGTTGCTTAAATATTTCAAGACAAGCTTCACGATTTTGGGCATAGAACTTGGCGGTTCTAAGTTTCAAGTTTCACGCCTTTTGTGACCAGCTGTTAAGCTACTCTCAATTAAAGTTTAGTTGCCTGTTTATCGTATTAAGCGTGGAACTCGAAGTTTCAACTTAGAACCGTCCTGTTATACAGACGATTCATTTTAAAATATGTATACAGAGACAAGTTTTAGTTATGAATTTCTAAATACTGCCCTGTCTAAGATTACAGTTTTATTTAACTGAATAAAAAGAGAATAGTATCCAGTTAAGAACTAAATATTATTTATTATTTATAATGTATCAAATGCCTGTCATTTTATCCTTTTATCCTTTTATCCTTTATCATTTTATTTTGATGTTACTACTATTTTGAACGATTCTTTTTAGGCCTAACCACGTCATCTCTGAAATTCTCAAGTGTTTTCAGTACCTCCAGCTGGCAGAAAGCTCCTGACGAGCTTCTCAAAATCGAATACCTCCACGCAGGAGCAAACAAAATATGGTGAGAATTTAGGATTCTTGTTCGAAATTATCAGTGTATGCCAACTGCGTACTATGTCATTCCATTCAAATATGTCACTTACATTTCATTCGTGAAATAGCAATCTACTTGTTTATTTAGCGAGTAAGTAAGCCTCCAAGTCAAAGTCATCCGCTTGATTGTGATGTGAACTCTGAACTTCAATGCCTGCCAAAAATACTTGGTACGCCCAGAATCAGGCACCGCGCAGCCATTGGGCTAGCAGGGGCTATAGCCCCCCCCCCCACTTTTTTGCAATAATAGGCTAAAAAATTTTTGGGAGGTTTACTCTAACGCATCTTTGCATAATTTACTCCTATGTAGTAGCAGTTCTTCTTGACTGGGAGCCTTTTCTGTTCATTTTCTAGGTGTTTTGTCTTGTTTGATGATATGATGTATTTTCTAGCTTGGTTAGCTTGGTATTTTGTTACTCTCAAGCTAATTTTATCTATTTTTATAGTTATCGATAACTTCTCTCATGAGTAGAAATAAAAAAGTATTTTTTGAAATGGACGTTTTTAGATATTTTGGTCACACCCATTTCAGCCCCTCCACTTTTAGAGTGGTGCGCGGTCCCTGCCCAGAATTGCATTTTATATCTTTTATTTTCTTTTCTGAAATAAATCACTCCTTCCCCCCCCCCTTCTTTTCACAACAATGTTGAAAGTTTAGACAGATATCATACAAGTAAAGCGAAAGAAGACACCTCCAAATCTGAAGATGGCACGGAAAAATGAAAAATGTTTACTGAAGTACTTTTCGTCTGACACTCTTCAAAGTAAAAACATCGGATATTGACTGAAAGTAAGCAGAAAATTTATATCCAGGTGTGGATCGAAAGTAACGTGAGAGAAAGAAAGACGCGTTTGATTGGTCATCTTGTTTTCACCAATCAGCGACGGCTAACCTTTCACCTAATTGAAGAGTCACTGAACTCTTTCTGTCTACATAGGTCGGGATCCTTTGTTTTGATCTCAAGACACCTAAATGAAAAACGACCTTGCCTGTCCGATGATTTTTCAATTGTCATCATTGTACGTTTGGCACACTCTGGATTTCTGATTAAATGTTGACCAAAAGCCGAATCACATTTTATCTGTCCATTTTGGTTTTTGCAATTACGCCTTGGTTGTTCCTTTTCGGAACTTCAAAATTTCCTACGCCGTTCTGTAGTAAACTACCATTGTTCACTGGGGGTGTGGGGAATTGTTGAATTTGATATTGAAGACTGGTGTCAGTATTCTGAGACTTTTGGCAGGAAATGTGGATAGTAAAAGACAATGTTTTTCGAACATATACCAATCAAAATATAGAATGTATTACCTTTTGGTATCGCAAACGTGACATCAGGTCTGTGAGAAGAAACAACCCTGCGATGTATGCGTGAACAACGAAATTCTAATTTTCTTTTACTTCCAATTTTTAGGTACGCGGTCCCTGCCTATATGGAGACAGCATTGTTGCATCGAGCCAAGAAACTCGTGCAAACTGGCGATAGACAAACAGAAAGCATAGGAAATTTTCTTGTGAGTTTTTGTGAAATTTGATTCCATAGTCGTGGTGGCATTAAATGTATCTGCAGCAAACTTTCGTCATCATTTATCACTTGATTAGCTTCGTCGCCATATATTAAAATAATAATAGATTATCGATGTCACTGCAGTACAGTTTGATCTTAAATATTGACTGTATAAATACCTAGTTTAGGATCAAAACAGGCCAACTAAAGACGCGGGGACATGGCTGTAGAGGACCTACCAGTGTATAATGCCTACCCTTAAACTACGAAAAATTATACTTTGAAATAAATTCTTGTTTTAATTTCTTTCCAATTCTTGTTAACCCAGTGTTCCTCTGTGATTTTGACACTTTACCTTGTTAGTTTTTCTGATATCTTTCATATCTATTTTTGTTGATTTTATTTTTCCTTTAAAGAGCTTGCAGATATTTTTCAAAAATTTCAAATCCTTTTGTTTAAAGAAATAATAGTCACATCGCCGTGCGCATCTTTGACTGATTTAGTAATGCATTCCCAGAAACTTAATGATAATTGCTTGTCCTATGCTTGACATAAACTGCACATAAATGCGAGCCCGATGAAGAGTCAAACTTGAGACGTTTGACATTTGCTTACTCCATCTTCAAGTCTTCAATTTGTTTCAAGTTTCAAGTAGGATTGTTCGTTAACTTCAGGTCCCACGCCATGACTTTCAAGAGGGTGGGGGCAAGGTTTTATAAAATGAATTTGAAATTAGTGCTTCAAAATATGGCTTCCATGTAAATATCATTGTTTGCCAAAAAGTTGGGGGCATGGCTCCTTCGCCCCCCCCCCCTCCGGTGCCGTGGGCCCTGAACTTGCTTGTTCTTGACAGCTGTCTCTGTAGCCATTGGCTTCACTAGTTCGAAAAGGCATTGGGGGATAATATGGCTCATATTGGTATTCAACTTCAATTCCAGCTGCTCTCGCATCTTGTTGCTTAAAGTTCATGCAAAAACAACATTTAATATTTGAAGATAGCACCGCAAAGTAGAAACATACCATTCTTAAGCACTTTTGCTAGCCTTTCATCACTATTCACTTTCTATAAGGCGTGTCAGAAGAAAGGCAATTGGGTATGCTATGTTCCCTCCTTTTCCGCACTATCTTCAAACTTTTATGTACCAAAGGCTTGTTTTTGTTTTTCGTTAAAACAATTATATTTTGTAGATATCGCCACTGGAATTACTTGCTGAAGAATGCAGGATAAGTAGAGCAATCCAAAACGAAGGCCAGTTTCTATTATGTCTACCTAATGTAAGTATTGAGATCTGGAAACTTTTGACTAAAAATATATAATTGTTTCTCTTCACTGGTAATTTGAACCATAGACAATACCTTTTGGCCGGCTGGTTGGTGAAAAATTCAATAAAGCACCGGAAAGCAGAAACTTAGCATATTAAAGTATTTTTTGTTTTCGGGAAAGTAAAAGTCGACAATTAATTCAATCCTTTGAAACTTGCGCTTTAAAACGGCAACTTGTAATTTAGTTGCTCCTCATAAGTTTCGAGTCGAGCCACTTTGATTTAAACACCTTTTAATCTCCGTGTTTTTGTTTTTATCTTTAAACTGATTAAGGAATCATAAATACTTGATATACTTTTGACGATTTGCCTGTTCAGAGAAAGTAAAACTGTCTAGGCAATTTTTCAATATTTGCCACAAGTACGCGACGCTGGATGAGGCCGTCCACCGGATCCTATTAAACATGTGATGAAAAACGATAAGCGATAGGCCAGTGTCAGGAAAACATCACGCCCCTACGGCCACTGGCCGGAGTAAGGCTGTAGAAAGAAAGAGAAGTTGAGGAAAGTGGCCAAAAATTTGGAAACTTGAGGAGGCTGAAAAAAATTTGAAGCCTTTTGCTTTCAAAATGCATGCTATGAAAAAATGAAAAAAATCAGAACAGAACTAGAAAATCTCCTGTTTTTTATATAGATATGTCTGAAGAACTATTTTGCTCTGTAAAATTTAGGCATCAACTTATTATAATTTAAATATTCGAATTATACGGTTTTTTTATTAATCGATATAAGCATTTTACTTAGCATCGGTTTATAAAAATATTTATAATTGAAAAACAAGCTACAAATTTCTAGTAAAATTTTGAAAAAACAGAGTTACCAGGAGAGGAAATCAAGACTGGCTGTGTATCCTGTTTTCTAACCAAGCTCATTTTAACCCCATTAAAATGAGGAAGGTTTTATGGTAGGATTTTCTTAAAGGTTGACAACTTTTCTGGGCACTGCAATAGGCAGTAATAACGCAAAACGACGGGGGGAAATATTACGTAAATAAATCGAATTTGAGAAATCAAAACCATAGGCCAATTTGAAAGCAAAGTGAAGTTAACTAAAATTTATAGTACCTGTATTCACATTTTCTTGAAAGTTTTTTTGTTCTCGAGCGTCAAGGAGTGCCAACGTTTATTTGTACATCGATAGGTAATAAGTGGGTTTTTGGAATATCGTTGTTTGAATGTTAGCTAGGTTCTGTAACTCCTACGAAACTATGAAACTGTTAGGATTCATTGTGATCTATAACAGAACTTTATCAAACGAAAAGGAATCATTTACTCGTTATTTGATACTTTTCATCACTGCAGTATCTTTTTTGTAACAGTCAGCTGCAAATAATTTTTTCCGCCATATCTGTATTGTCATATTTGCTCTTTTTACTTAAAATCCTGTTTTTAATTTCAGTAATTTAGCCATACAAGGACAAAATGAATCTTGGCATATTTCAATATGCCATACTTTGTTTCTAATATATTAGTCGAGACATACTAACTATGGTCGACATAACGTATGCGATAAGCATGAGTAGGTTAAAGGATGTTAAATAAACGTGATGCTTAGCTTATGAAGTCGTCATTTTAAGTGTAGAAATAAATGTTTCAATTAATTAAGATTTTTTATGACGCTATTTTGAGATCGTTTAATCGACAAAAGCGATGTTAGAATCCAGGATTACGCAGGATTAGCTCTGAAATGATTATGCGTGTTAAAATCCTTTGGATTATAATCTCAGCTTAACATTTAAATAAAAAATGGGATCATGAAAGTTGCAGTTATAGAAGAGAATCAATAAAGGATGATAAAGAAACGTTAGTGTTACAATTTATTTCCGTTGGCGATTTCTCCAAATCTGCAGCCATATGTAGATCACACAATTTTTATTCACCAATCCAGCTTACGACCTCATTTCAGATATTGCTCCAAACATGAATGCTCAACTTTTTAAAGGCATTAAGTCGTGTTAAATTGGCCTTTTCTGTAGGAGGTAACTTGGTCTCGGCGTGGTCGCTGTAATTTAAGTATCCATTGTTGACTCTCGATGGAAGATACTTTGAAAATCTGTACGAGGTAACTTCATGTGATCCGGTTTTAGGCCCACCAATAGCATTGCAGCACAGAAATCATGACTCAGTGTATTTGGGTACCTTTGGGTATACCCTCTCCTTTTATCATGACTCAATGTCTTTAAGCTTGGGTTGAAATCAAGCATCATCATTTCAGTCCGTTATAGATTTTCAAATTTTTTGTGCTTGTTACTTGTAAACTTTCACCCTTTTTTTATCTTAATCACAAGAAATGAAAATGAATAGAAGTAGTTTGAAGTAATTTTTCAAAACGAGGCCATTAACGAAAACATTCAAAACGAGGTTGTTTATTGGATAGATGTATTCGTCAGCCCTATCTAAAGTCTAGGGCTATTGGTATATCAACCGTACTAAGGTCTTTCTATTAATGAGACATAGTATTGTTTACGCAGTTGGTTCGGATAATTTATTCAAAACCCTTGGTAATGACCTTTTTCTTGCTATCGTGTGGAGGGCGGGAATGCAAGTTTTCGACAGTAATTCTGATGCTTGATAGAGGCACTTTTTGGATTCGTATTACATCATAAAATAGGCCTTTGGTAATACAAAGCTGTCAACTAGTAGAGAAAAATGACAGCTCATCCTACTAGATTATCAGAAATTATTGGTTTAACGATCTGCCAAATAGTGTTCGATGCCGTGAGGGTAGAGCAGTATGGGTTTTGTTTCTATATCCGTGAGGGTAGAGCAGTATGGACGAATCTAAGTTACGTCTCTGAGTTTCACTTAAATACTGATTGCTTAAAAAAAACCACAATGGCTTTTTAACGTTATTGTGTTTGTTTTGTAAGTTTATTAGTATAATGTGGCTCTTATTTGTTATAATGTAATGTGGTTCTTATTTGTTTATTTTTTGAAAACTTAATTTTTAATATTGTTCGTTTCAGGTTTATCACTGTGTTGTCAGCAGTGGCTACAGCTTAACAGAATCCTGCTATTTTGTTCAAGACGATTGGTTCCAAACAAGATTAACAGTTGACAAAATATTTGTAAGTTCCCACAGCAATGAAAAAAATACAATACAATACAATACAATACAATACAATACAATACAATACAATACAATACAATACAATACAATACAATACAATACAATACTGCAATACTTCATTGTATTGTATTGTATTGTATTGTATTGTATTGTATTGTATTGTATTGTATTGTATTGAATTGAATTGTATTGTATTGTATTGTATTGTATTGTATTGTATTGTATTGTATTGTATTTCATTGTATTGTATTTCATTGTATTGTATTTCCTTGTATTGTAAGGCCCGAACAATGGGAATGTAAATGGTCATAGTGCATCAGGACATAGTGCCTTTAACAAGACATGTAACGTATACATACAATCGGAACATTACTATATTTATTAAATACAAAGATAGTGCGTTACACCAATATGATTCAGCGATCAGTTGATTTTATGTAATCCGCACACCACTGGTGGTTATTGCCTCTTCAATATTCATTGTGCGTTTTAGATTTATGAACATTGAAATAACTGGAACATTTTAACTGCCTTATCAAGCGTGCTCTTTTATATCAAGAACACAAAAACCTATGCATGGTCCACCAAAGATCCGAATTGCTTTATAATTATTTCAATGATTAATTAGTAAGAATAATTTCAAATATAACTGGCTTTCCTCCATTTGCGCTCTAAACCTACAGGTTTCTATTGTATCTCAAATTAAGGCTATTGTATGATTCTCTATATAAGAACTTATAGGCAACCATTCAGCTATCTCAATATGGCCCACCAGTGATCCGGATTGCTATAGAATTATTTAAGCAATGAATCAATATGAATAACTTTAAATCATATTACTGGGTATCTCCTTATTACTTTCAAATATATTCTTGCGTTTTTCCTATATTTTGATACCACTTTTTTGATGCCTTCGTTGCAGTTGAATCCAGCAGTGAAGTTTCCGGCGGAAATGGTCATACTGAACTTTGCGGAATCACAGGTAATTTGCTGTTATTTTGTGCAATTTTCGGATGTGAAATTACATAGCATTGTTTTTGGAAATTGTTCTCAATGGATATAGTCCTTGAAATTATCAAGAGCTATATCTATATAACTATATAAAAACAACTAGATTAAGCACTAACACTTAAACTTTTAAAAGCTTGTTAAACATAAAAGAACTATTATAGGGTAAAGCCTGCGCTAGTCGCAATATCTTTATTTGGATTTTGGCCTTCCATTTGATTTTAATCTTACTTTTGACTGATTCAGTATTTTTTAGTTTGATTTTATTGATTATGGTATTTCCAAGGATGCTGTTAGTGACAGCACAAAGGGGCGACATGAAGGTACAGTAATTACCCCCTCTCCTACTTCTGTCAAAACATGGTCCACATAGTTCATTGAAAAATTTGATAAAACGCAATCGGTAGGAGTAGGTCATATGAATTTAAGAAAATATACCTGGAATATTCAATGAAATTAGGTAAAAGGGCGTGGTCTCATTAGTCACGCCCATTTCCCTCCCTCTGCAGATGCTGGTGCCGTTACTGAATGCTGCCGTTAAAACTGAATTAAGTTCAAATGTGTGAATGAAATGACTGATTGCCCGAATGACTGATTGGCTGAATGACCGAGTTACCGCGTGACCAAATAACCTTAATAACCAAAGGTACCCACAAAAGTGGGCTTACAAGGCAACACTTTCGAGTGTTTGGTAGGGGGAAAGGGGTAAAGGGAAAGGAGACAATCATGCTTTCTGCATAAAGATTTCACCCAGCTCACACTATGCTATTGAGATTTAGTGTCATTAGAAATAAGAAACTAAATGCCACCATTTACTGTCTCTTTGATTATTTAGAGATTGCTCTCATTAAATTCTTGAGACTGATAAAAGGTCACAACCGATGAATTTCCCCATCATATTGTGGTTCCTGTTTTGTTGGACGTGCGTTTGAGCTGTGACAAAATTGTCTTACAGCATTGTGTTTATGATTAAATGGCCATCCGAACTCGTGCTCCAGCTTTCTTTTAGCTGAGTTGCAAGCATGTTTAGAGACGAAGAAAAATTGTTCTCAGTTTGAGCATTTTTTTTATATTTAGCCATGTTAGACTAACCAAATTCGAACTATCGTCAATACAACGTGAAGAAACACTTTCAAAAAAACACTCGAAATCTTTTTGATAAGGCGAAAAGCTTTTGCAGGTCATATGTATTTCTGCGAGTAAAAAAATCAGTAAGCAAGGCAATGTAATGATTCACTACAGATAAGAGACAACACAATCTCTGTGAAGCCTTTTCTAATATTCTTTACGATTGGCTGTTACGCTATTCGCAAAGCTGATTCTGCACACGGGTCGAGGAATATTTTTTGTTACAATACAAGATATGGCGAGTGCTGCACACTTGGTTACTGTCTATCTAGCGTCAAGTCAACATTTGTATATCGCTGTCAAATCAATCAGAAACGGTTCCAAAGTTTCATATATCGATTCCCTTGCTCTTTACGTAAAATTTCCGAATTTTAATTATGAATAGCAAGTTCAAAGAGAAATGCCGCCAGTGGAGATAGCGAGAACGAAATATTTCATACAATCATTTAAATGTTTGATTAAAATTTCACGAAAAATGTTTAAATTAAATGGTTTTGCATCTGATAAGTTCGTGCTTTATTAAGCCATCTGCACCTTTTGCAGAAACATGATTTCTTTTTAAGCATGAAAACCTTTTGTAAGACGCAACCGAAAATACTTGATATATCCGATTAAGTAGCGAATTGACAGTGGCGTTTTATTACTGTGAAGTGATTAAATATTTGTTTTCGGGGCGCAATACGCTGTGGTCATTACAAAAACCCTTCTCTGAACGAATTATATCATTTCATTTAAAATATAACATCACATCGTAGCCATCTGCTTTGGAAATAGTTTTATTGCGTGCTGAAAGAACACTTGATTTTTTTATAATTCTCAAAGTGATGTTTCTTATGATGGTTTTGTATAAGCCGTACACTTTCTTTATAAAACCATGTCTTTATCTAGAACACACAGGCTCGTGATGTAACCAACCGCATTAGTTTTATTTTTGAGTCTTAATGATGACGTCATAAGATGATCTTTTTTTAGAATTTTCGAATTTTGACCGCATAACCTGAAAGAAAAACATGAAATACTTATAAATATAAAAAATTAGTTTGTGTCATAAATCGGATGGGATTTGGCCATTGGAAGATTTATGCAAACAAATTACCGTTGTCAGGGCCTGTCTATAAAGTTCTGCACAGAAACCAAATTTAAGAGGCTTCACGGGAAAGAGCCTGTGCTAATGTGGACACAAAATTGTTGACACTATCACTTAAGAACACTATAACTATCGTTATTAATGGGAAGATCTCGCTCTTGTATTTTCTTTATTTCGAATGCAATTTTCGCCATTAATTTTATTTATATAAATACCCCCGCTTATAAAAATTAGCAGATTAATTATAATTTGCAGTGTTTTTCTTATTGGTGTAAGTTGTGAGTTACTTTACTATTCAATTGTGAGTTATTTTACTTTTTAGGCACAGCAGTCAAAGAAAGATGACATCAATTTATTATTGATCGAGCTGGCAAAAAACATAAGGTATGTTTCCTTATTTAGTTTATTCTTTTAGCAATCTAATATTTTATATCGTTTCAATCAGCAAGATTTTTTCTAAGATCTGAAACTTAAGATCTGAGATTTCAGTTTATACGATAGAAAATAAATGGAATCAAAGGGGCCTTGTAACCAGAGGATTATAAACAGCTCCCTTTTCCACGTGATTTTGATTTGATTTCGAGGATTTAACCTCCTAGGTGCATGCATGGATATGTTAGGAATCTGTTTCAAGTAAACGATTGCCAGGCAGTGTTTTGAAGTCTTTACTTCTTCATTATTCATATAAAGAATCTTCGTTGTCTTCAAAGATTATCCTACCTAAAAATGAATTCTACACGTAGAAAGTATTCTGCTGACATTATTCAGTGCACAAACGACACCATTGGTATGTCAAGTCTTAGAATATTGAGATTTACATAAAGTAACTGTTAACTATGAGTCAACGCATCAGACATATCCGTACTTGCTGTAGCTTCATCATCAGTTCCAGAGCTATCATTTATTCACAGGTGTAGGATAGAACGTCAAGCAAAACAACAGTCTCGATATTTGTTTTAGGTTTATCTGAGCTAAATTATATAGAAGGGTTTTAGAATTTAGAAGCAGAAAAGATTTATTGTTAGGTACATTTTGAAATTAAACTATCAAAGGAGGGATATTTTTTAACTTTTGTTAACAATGTTGCTTAAGCTTTGATTAAAAGAACTTAATTACGTGTTCATTCAAATGTATTTTTAAATGTTGCAGACAAGCAAATATGGAATTTCACCAGAAACTGACCGCTTCTGGTGCTTTGATGTCAAGAGAAATACCTCAAGGTAATACCTGAATCTGCCTTTTGTGTTGCTTTTTATCATTTCACAAAGAGTTTTGATGAGTGCGTGTATACAAATCTAGGACCATTCTACCAAGGAACCGTTGTAGGTTCATGTTAACATTGACAAATCTAGACAAGATTCGCAACTGAATACAGATTCCTGCTTTTTGCATACCTGTTGACATCAATGTTTGCCTGTTTCTTGATTGCTTGACCGTTAGCTTTTGTGCTTGTTTGCTTCAGAGTTTGACTTTATGACTGTGTTCTTGTTCGCGACAATGTTTGCCTTGTTTGCTTAAATAATAATTGCCTTGCCTGTTTGCTTGAATGTGTAGCTGTTTGTCAGAATGCTCAAATTGCCTGGCTGACTTTTTGTTTAGACGTTTACCTCCTTGCCTTTTTGCTCAAGTATTGGCCCATTTGCTTGTTTGCCCTCTACCTGATCATGTGTTTGCTTACTTGAATCTTTGTTTAAATGCCTGCATTGTTGTATGTTTGCTCAAACATATGCTACGTTCCTCGTTCTTTCAATGGTTTGCGTTCATAATTTTCCCTGCTCATTTGTTTAATCAAATCTTTGCTTTTTACTATGTTTGCCTTAGTGTTTGCCTCCTTGCCCCTTTGCTTAAATGTATGCTACGTTGAATGTTTGCTTGAATGTTTGCCTGCTTCCCTGTTTGCAGAAAATGCTTGCTGCCTTGGCAGTTTTCTAGATAGCGCTTTCCATAGTTTTTCCTTTAAAATTTGCTTATTTGCCTTTTTGCTTTAATGTTTGTGTCTTTGAAAATATTGTTTAATACTTGCCTGCTTAAATGTTTGCTGCAATGCTTGCTTACTTGCCTGTTTGCTCAGATACTCCCCTCCATGCCTGATTGCTTATATGTTTGTCTGCTTGCCCGTTTACTTATAAGTTTGTATCCTTGAATGTTTGCTTCAATATTTGCCTACTTCCATGTGTTCTTCATTGCTTGCTTACTTGCCTGTTTGCTCAAATACTCCCCAACATGTCTGATTGCTTGTATGTTCGCCTGCTTGCCTGTTTGCTTATAAGTCAACATTCTTGAATGTTTGCTTCAATATTTGCCTGCCTCCTCGTTTGCTACAGTGCTTGCTTTTTTGCCTGTTTGCTCCAATCAATCTCTCCTTGCTTGTTTACTGAAATTTCTGTCTGCTGGTCTGTTAATGCGTGCTCTCTTGGATGTCTGGTCAAATATCTGTTTGTATGTCAGCTAAATTGTTCGCCTTCGCTGAAGAGTTTAGCTCTCCTTCGATGCTAAGCTGTTGCGTGGTAGCTATGTGCTATATTTTAACTTCGCGTAGTAAAGTAATTTGTTTTACAAAATTATATATATTTTTTATTTCTTCCAGCATCTTACTCTCTTTCATGGGCTTTACACTTAATCGAACCATAAGTAACACAAAGATAAGTTTTAAGTATGCGTTGAAATACAATTACCTGAATACCTAAACTTCAAAGTTCATTTTATTTATTTTTCTATATGTTCAGGAAAACTGAAACGAGTGGCCGTTGACTGGGAGACTTGCGATGATTGCGAAAGGCCATTGTATCCTTTTGTGGTAAGAGTGTCAAAAATTCGGATTTTTTCGTTGTTTTATTGGTAATGTTTACTTAAACGCGAAAGTTTATTCTCGCGAAAGATCCAATTTCGTCTCTTTCGCGAAAATATATTAAATGTTTTTTTTGCGCTTTTCTCTATCCGCGAAACTTTGATGTAGTTCTATTAACAATGCTGGTTTTATCTATTTAATAGAGATAGTTAGAATATCATTCGTATTTTTTGTTTAGGTGTGGAGAGGCAATCATTTTTACTGTTTCGACCACGCCATTGAAGCCATGGGAAAGAAAAATAGTGAATCGGAGGAAAAGTTCGAGATGTTCACACATTGGAATAAAGTTAGTTTTATTTTAGGCTCATCTTCATTCCATGTCTCGTACGCTCTCTTGTTCTTTGCTTTTTTAGTATTATTGTCGGTTTGGAATAAGAGTTAGTACCTCAATCGTTTTAATATTAAAATAATGAAATATTGGCGAGGTTCAAAACTCAACAGGTAGGCAGCACTTTTCATCATCCGGGGGATAAATTTGTAAAACTTTTTTGCTTTAGTAAAGGTGTTTCTTACTCCTTAAGGGAGAAAACATTTCTCAAAATAGGCTGTATTTTCTTTCATTTAGTTGACAGCCTATTTGATTTGTAATCTGTGTAAAATATTAATTTATATCTTGTGTAATACCTAGGCCAATATGACTTCACAACTGACAGCGCACTCAAACATCAAAATGCATGGTTTTCTACTTGAATTAATTCTTGACAGTATTCAATTATTTCATAGGAACAACTGGAGAGCTTGATTGTACGGTTAGAAGATCTTACAAAGGACGAACAATCGGATAAATAGCAAAGCAGCATAGCGACTTAACCAGTCTTTTAAACAGTGTTTGTAAATATTGAGTGAATTTAAGTGCGTGTATTGTTCGTAAAAAGTTATAATCAGTTTGTAAGATGCAGTAATCTTTGATAAATTTTCGAAAGAATTTCTAGTCAGTCATGCCGAAGGATCTTCAAGGCCCTTGAGCAAAGTGAAAAGTTACACGGTGTCGATGTCACATGTTTGTGGGTAAGCCCGTTATCCTGGCTGAAAAAGCAAATCAGGGAACTTTCTAGCAGTTCCAAGTCGAAGCTTTAGGCAAATGCAGGTATATGAAACGCAATATTAAAGGCTATCTTAAGGAATGTAAAGACTCTTAGAAACCGTAATGGGCTACTTGAAAAGTCTACAGCATTTTTTCTATGCCCGATCTCTGCCATTCTATCAAAAGTACGCAAAAAACTGGCCTTGCTGGTGCGCGAACACACCAGAATACGTCACAAATTCCTGAAATTCCACTTTGGCCACGTTTTTTTATTCGAACAAAAACTGACGAAAACCAGTACTTTGGAGTTTGAAAAAATAATGTTAACGAAAAAGTATGCTGGTAATAATTACAAATTAATTATGTTATCAAAACAGACCAACAGTACCTAAAGTGGGGCTTGACAATACCTTTAAAAAAGCAAACATGTCAAGAGTCAAACAATTTTTGGCCTGTATAAAGATCAAATAGCCTTACTTGTTTTTGTGGGTAGAGTTTTGATTTTTGATTTGAGCTTTCAGTTAATGTTGCTTTCAACTTGTACCCTGAAATATTGTGCGATTGCAACATCATCTATTCTTTTATCTTGTATATATTCAAAACTAACTTTCCCTCAATTTCAGGTAGCTTTATTGCTTTTCCTTTGTTGATATCCAATTTTCTGCAACAACTATGAAAAGCTTTTGAAGTTAATGTTACCAGTAAATACTGTCAGGCCGGGTTGTCTGGATAGAATGGTCTGAGTATCATGGCCCTAACCTTGGTGCCAGATTTTTCGTAATTTAGTCTCAGAATATAATTTAAATCGATTCACTGTTTTGCCACTCTATCAGTCTGTATACCAAATTATCATATTCTAGAGGCACTGTTTCCCAAGGTATTAGGTCCTTTAGAAGCTACCAGAGCCGCAAAATTCAATTTTTCCGAAGGGTTATGTCCCACATCCCCTACTTCCCTGTGTCCCTCCCACAGAGAATTTCTGCCTACACCACGGACCACAGTTGCGTTTATGATCAAAATAAACCCCAGATATATTGCACAGGTGTGATGCTCCAATTTTTGTCAATACAGGGTGTATTCAGACTTAATAGGGTCTCTACTGTGATTTACTGGTATCACTTTGCATTTATTTGGAAATTTGGAAAAACATCAAAACTCAATTTAAGAATAATTACTGTTTCTACCTTGTTTGTACATTATTTACAATAAACAACAGGCATTGCAGTTGCAAGTAAGAACATCCTATTGTTTTATTAAACGTTTGAACGCGTTTAGGTTGCCTGACGATTTCAATTCATTTGGCAAGCAGTTCAAAATCTGTGGTCCTAAGAACTAGAGACTGTTGTTGCCGAAAGCAACCTGATTTGGCCTAAAATGAGTTAGATAAATATGGATTTCGCAATGAATTCCAAAAAGAAATCAAAGTGAACTGTTTTTGGCGGTACAGAACTTGAAAATGGCTTTGAAAAAAGCAAACATTCAATATGTTTGCTTTTTAGAAATCAAAGTCGGGATACGTGAATCGTGTGTCGTTGAAATTTAATTAGAAGGTCATTATACGAGCTAACGTTATCATTATAAAGAAATCTAATGTTCGCTCTTGTATCTTTTCGATCTTTTGCATGGATTTTGCCAAGCAAAAATACCATACCAAAGGACAGCAATTTAAATTTGAATAAACAAATCTTTGAACGAACGAGAACTTTTATCTCGTCAAAGCCAATAACAGATCGAAGCCTCTTTAAAACATTAAGCTGAGTTGCAGCTTTTCTACACAGCTCTGAGATGTGTTGATCAAAATTTAATCTATAGTCTAACTGAATACCGAGAAGTTTGACTTACTCTTCAGTCTCATTTGTTTTTCCTTTGATATTTATTTTCGTGCCACTATGGATTTGCGATCATATGGTTATCCTGTAGCCAATCTAGTACAACGCCTGCTTCTTCCTCTAGGGTACGAAGCAAGCGTGTTGTCGTCAGCATAATTATATAGCGTTGCCTGTTGAATTAATAGACATTGAAAAGAATAGGGCCTAGCACTGAACCTTGGGGAGCACCAGATAGGATTATTTAAAAGGAACTGTATGTGTTGTTTATTCTAACGGATTGCTCACGTCCTCCAAGGTTTGAGTAGATTAATACTAATACAATCAAATGCTTTGGAAAAGTCCATTAGTACAGCACCTAAAATGTTTTAAAAAGTTTGGATTTTCAGTCCTCAAGGAGTCTTATCAAAACAATCTCTAACCTCGTTTTGGTTTGGCCTGGAATGGCCTATGGACGGAAGCAGCTGCATCTTGCGTAAAAACCAAACTTACGGAAAGATATTTCTGGTCAATACGCTGAAATGTGGTAAAGATTTAAAACGAAGAGTTTCTTAGCTATGGATCTTTCTAACCTTCTTCGGGATTTGAAAGAAGTGGAAATTAATGCCAACCCACATGCGACGCTGAGTAAATTGACAGACTTCAACAAAAAGAATAGTGACAAATTCGAATGTCAAAAGTCGAGTGCAGAAGTTCGCAGTGAACTGATTGGGATTCTCTTTAAACTTGCCAAAGAATATGACAATAAACTAAATGACCAAGCTGCAGAGCATTCTGTTGCCTTGGCGTTGAAGGAAGTGCTGATATGCATAAAAGTTCTCAGCAGAGTGAAAGAAATTGCTTTCACTATGGGGAATGGTGGAAAGTTTGTGGACGAGTTAGCTGAAAGAGCAAACATTGAAAATGGTCGCGACAGAGATGCAATAAAAGGATCTGATGGAGAAAAAGAAGTCCAAAGATTAAACATTTTGAAAGAAGCGGAACTTGAAGCTGCAAAAATAATTTGCAATTGTGTTTTTCATTGCCAAGAATTCAGAAGACATTTCTCTAAAAGTAGACACTCAAAGTTAGTTACGAAAAGGCTCGGTGAATTAGTTACAAGGCTAGACAAAGAGAAAGAGCTATGTTCCATGCTGATAAAGGTTCTCTTTCTCATGTCAGCATTGGACATAAATGAAAGAGAAAAAATGAGAACAGAGTATAAAACAGATGAGATGTTGATTACTTTTCTTGCTGCAGTACTCAAAACTTTTGAGGGGTCTATAGAAGAAGGAAGGTAGGTGAAAATGTAGCAGTTAGTAAAACTGTAGACATTGTTGCGCCAGACAAAGAAAACTGATTATTAGAGAAAACTGTGGTGTTTGAGTCTTTATTTTACGTTAACTGTGTACATGGCTACATGTTTAGCATACCAACTAACCAAAATTTTAAGTACGGCAAAAATTTTTTTATTGGTTTACACACCGAACGCCAAAAAAACCTGGGTGTACCCCAAAGATCTACGGGCCTAAGTACATGGAATGCACCCTGGGTTTTAATGGGGTGCCAAAGTGTTCATGGACCCAGGCCCCCCACTTTTCATAGCAAGAAAGCCCTCACACCCAAGAAAAGAAATATCAATTTAAAAAGACAATAGCTCAGCAGATGTTTTTGGCCCAAGGCCCTGCAGTCTCTAAAACTGCGGCTGATAGATCTAATGAATTGTTACTTCTGATGAATTGTTACTTGATGATCAAATTGAGCATGAATTGCAACTCTAAGTTCAAACTTAATACCATCCTGTTCCATACACCAACGTGTGTACAGCTTTTCCCATATAGCATAAAGTACTATATGAAAGACTGGTAAAACGAGTAATAGAGTTCTAAAGTGTGACATCACAAAAAGCTGTTTTTAGAAATTTCGAATTTTAAACCTATCACCATATGGTGAAAGTTTGCATCTCTAAAGCAAGCATTCTTTAAAATCCAGAATTTTTTGGTGTAATCAGTAACCCTTTGTGTTTGGCATTACATTGCAAAGGGAGCAAGTTTTCAGACCCTGTCGTGCTTACACAGACTTTCAATTAAAGTTTTAAGATTTGAAGGTTTCTTTTTGAAAGCTGCCAACTTAAAAATACAAAAGAAACTTCCCATATAGCAGTTGCCAAACTTTTCAGTCTGGCAGAGTTATGCTACTTTCGAAAAAAGGGATTCTAACTTGATATTGACAATCAAGACTCTTTGTGACTACAGCTAGCAGTTTTAGTCAACAGAGCATTTGGCAAAAGATTTTTTAATATATTTTGTCTTTCAATCTTTCTTTTTCAATTGCTTTATGCTTCTCCTGTATCATATTCTTTTTCTTGCAATGAAAAATATGGCGATAAACAATAGACAGGAACATTGCAAAACAACAATGAGCAATCAAATAAGTCTAATATGAAAAAAGAAACAAAATTTGTAGCTATCATTAAAAGTGATTTGAATTTTACCCTAGCTTACAGGGCTTCATCATTTAGTAAAAGGATAGAAAAGGTAATGCTTGAGAGATAATTTTGCATTAGTGATGAAGCCATTTCAAGTCAGATTTTGATCAGCATACAAGAAATAAATAAGAGATGTAAGGCAAGGTCCATAGGTTGGCTGAAGTTAAACATTCTCAGTGATATATTACACAGCAGAAACCATGGTTATTTGATTTGCTGTTTATAGCTAAGATGAGAAGATGATGTCTGCCAGGCAGCTGTTTTGATTGTAAGATCAGTTTCAGCTATAGGATGAAAACTCCATTGAGTTTTGATAAACTTTGCAAGCAAAATGCATTGATTTAAGTTACATTAAATCATTTCATGGCTGTGTGATTGCCAGAATTTTGTTTGTGCAAGAAGCAACCAATTAAACTTGATGAAGACATTTTTTAATTCGCGCCAGAGAAAAAGCTTCACTTAATGCAGCTATGATTGTGAAAATTCAATGTAAGAACAGCTGTTTTAGAACTTTTGATGTTTCTAATGATTTGCTCACAGTTCGTGGTCAGTAATTCCCAGCATCTGCTCAAAATTATTATCTTTGAATGTTTTACAAAGTCCAATAGTTGAATCGTTAGTCTAGGAGCAAAGTGAAACACAAACTTGATTGGTTTTCAAGACTTTGGGTTGTAATAGCTAAAATTTGCAGCAAAATGATTTGATGGAAATTCCCGTTTTGGTGCTATTGCCCTACATTTTCTAGTTTTTAGAAAGGAAATTGTTTTTTAATTTTTTTAGATATTCTTTGTAAATCATTCTGGGTTTTGTCAGAAAGCAGAATGAATAAGAATGAAATCAAAAGAGTTCTTGTTTGCAGGAGATACTCCAAATGTCAAAGGACAAATTTGCATAGCATCCTATTTAATGGGTTGTGACTCATTTTCGGAAAGCTTATCATGAGAATGAGCATATAGGAGAGTCTCCTTCTTTGATATATCAAAAGTCAAATATACCCATCCATTTGTTCAACATCATCATCATTTTATTTAAATCAAGGTTTTTCCCTTTTTCAAAGGGTTACTGACTTTCCTTCCATGAATTGGTGCAACTTCTCCACTTCACTCTGTCATTTGCATCCTCAAAGTTCACAACAACTTTACCGCACCGCTTTTCCATCATTCCTTTCCAACTCATCTGTGGTCATCCTCTTCCTCTACCGCCCTCAACCTCAAAATTCCATGCCTGTTTTACACATTCATAATCACTCTTTCTCAAAACATGTTGTTCATGGTGTATTTTTATTTTCTTTTAACAGTTCTGGTAGCACTCAAAAGATGCTGGATCAGAAAGTTGATGCCAGTGTAACATTAGTTATAGAAGTGCTCAAGGCTCTGTTTAATGTCACTGTCAATGTTGCTGATGCATCACTAATAGAAGAGCAGGCATGTAAAAATTACTGCACCTTATCTTGCCTGCTTCAGGAGTACCTTGTACATCCACATTTTGCATCTGTCTTACCCAGTGCCCTGGTTGGTCACATTGCAAACATGTTCATCAACATCCCTAAAGGCTGCTTGCAAGGTTTATTGCCATCCGTGAAAAGAAGACCATGGCAAGAACAGGTTCCAAAATTCAAAGACTATCCATGTGAATATGAGGTATTTGAAGTGCTCTATTTCCCTTTTGTTAATAGATCTAACAATTTTAAAGCTTGGCACCAGTGGTGGAGCCATGGGGGGAATGAGGAGGGGACTAGCCCCCCCCCCCCACATTTGCAGAAAGATGGTCCTTTATATTAATAATAATATAATAATAAATCAAATATTTTAACAGGATAACCTATCAGTACAATATGTACTGTTGTCATTAGGGTCCTGATACTTAATAAATTAATGGTAAGATCTAAAAACGGATTACAAAAGTTCAATACAGTCCAATCTAAAGATAAAATAATTTTACATCAATTAAAATGAGTTTCTAAAAATCGTCTGAAAATAGTTCTAGATTTAATCTTTCTTGCACTTAGTATTCTTGCAAACTCCAGGGTCATATGTATGTTTCAATCAGGGAAAAAGGGCCTGGTCCAAATGGGTGTGGTCCCTGACACACCTTTTCTCCCCCCCCCATTTATCCCAGGCTGGAGCCGCCACTGCTTGGCACCATGGAATTTTGAACCACTAAACAGTGATTTCTTTCGATTTTCAATATCAAGTAATGGGCACCTTTTTACCCTGACACATTTTACTATGAAGTTTGCTGGACTTTTGAGAACCAAAAAGCAGTTTGGAAATGGAAGTTTGTTTGTTCAAAGTGTAACTTTAAAAACATTTAATTTATGCTGATTTATTTGTCTAAATATTATAGTTCCCATGACAGAAATTTTGGTGTGAACAGGATGAAAAACTCTCCATGGGCAAGAGGTCCACTCTATGCATGAATGATAAACTATGACTACATGTCCTGTACATCTATGTATTTTATGTTCTGTCACCAAAAAATATTTCATTAATCAAATATCATCAATAAAGTTTTTGAATTTAGTTGTACACAACTTAAATTTGCTTCATGCTTGATCAAGTTTGCAGAACTTTTTAGACTGGTGTTATAGCTCTTCATTGAAAGCTTCTCCTTGCAAGACCTGGAAGTGCGGAGTGTATAATTATTTAACAGCACTTTTTTATGAAGAGCTCACAGACATTCCTGCTCATTATATTATTTTGAATATTTTTGTCTTTTTTGGTTGGTTACTGGATATTTACCCTTACCATTGCAGCTGAAAGATGTATCAGCAGTGATTGTACTTATCACATGCCTGGATGAAGAGCTAAAACAGAAGGCTCCTGTCAAAGATGATGAGTCCCACACTTTTTCTATCCTGTCCTGCCTGTGCCATATTTGTCGCTGCTTGCGTTTGACAAGAAAGTATTTACGTTTTCAAATACTTCCACCTTTAAAAGATGCCACAGCTCGTCCAGAGATGGATGAAAGCCTGAAAGGGAGGCTCATAAAGTTGATGACTAATCCAAACACAAACGTTAAGGTTTGTACTTATTCTCATTTCCATAATTTTTTCAATAGCCAGATCTCAAAAGTTGATTGAGTGTCTCATTTCAATTAACAATGGCTGAAAATCTCCTGATATTATTTGTCTAAGAACTATATTAAACTTAACCTAATTAGAGTGTTTGCATTTTATCTATATCACCAAATGCTTCTAGTCACCTTCTAGACAATTGAGTCCAAGCATAAAAAAGAGAAGTTACAAATCTGATTGCTAAAAATCTTCTTATACTAGAATATGGCTGCAGATTTTCTGTTTGTACTTTGCAAAGAAGATCCAGATCGACTTGTGAAGCACACAGGCTATGGAAATGCTGTGGGGCTCTTGGCTGGAAGAGGATTAATGGGAAGAAAAAGTGCCAATAGAACTGGTGATTACTCTTCAGATGATGATGATTCTGAAACTGAAGAATATTCTGCTATTGCTAAAGATATTGATCCAATAACAGGTATGCTAACTGTTATTCTTTTTGGTCAATTTTTTAGGTTCCCAATAGATACCTACATCTATGCCGTAATATATTCTAGTGCCAGGCCAATTTTAATATTAAATTTGATTGAATGAAATTGCTATGAAAGCAAAATTTCCCTGTTCATCAAAACCAGGCTCAAATTTACATTCACCTTTCCCTAAACAGTAATTCATTTATGCAAAGAATGTGGTTGTTTTAAATAAAAGCTATAGCTAAAAGCTATTGTGATGTTTCATTAATTATATGGGGATTAATTAATTATTTATTCTGTTTACAGGGGCAATCTCATCCAAAAGCAAGGAACCTGACCCATTTCAGGGCATGTCAGAAGAAGAAAAGGAAGCCAGCGCACAAGAATTAATGACCCTTTTGGATAAAATGTCATCTCTAGATATGATCAAGCCTATGAGAATTGGAGAGAATGGCAGGCCAGAGGTTTTCAATGTTGAAGAGGCAAAACAACTTGTAAAGGAACAACTAAATAAAGATAAATAACAAGAGCTTTTTTATTCCAAACATTTACCTACTAGATAACTCTACAGTGACTTGGTATTTTGATTCAACAGGATATACAGCTAGCAAGGCATATTTTGATGGTAAGCAAGAATTACTCTAACCTTTGTCAGTCACATGACTATGCAATATAGAAAGGTTTCACTTGATACATTTTTGACTTTAAGTCAATTTTTTATGCCACAACTAAAATCCATTTCGTGGCTGAGATGTGACCTTGCATGGATATAAGCTGTTTAAAAATTTATTCAACAAAATGATATTTTCTCTGAAAATATTTTTTTAAAATATCATTCCATCCACTATCAAACAAAATCTATCAATTTTTTACTTTATTTTGAGTACCTTATTTTGTTGATATTAAAAGTTGAGAAAAACAGAAAGGTTCTGTGCTCTAAAATGTTAGTCAAATCCACAACTAAATTCATAATTTTATCTCTCTCTTGTTTATCTTTATCAACATCAAGGCAAACATATCTCCACTCATCTCCACTCATCTTTAATGCAGGGGTGGGCAACCTACAGCCCGCAGGCCAGAATCCGGCCATAGGGAGAGAATTTTGTGGCCCATGAGATGAAAAGTATAATATTTTTGGTTGGCAAGGATGATTTTCTGAGGAGTTGCAAATATCAAATGAAACACATCGATTCAAAATAAGATTATCTAATATCTTCATCAAACCTGAGAATAATGGAAAGATTTGTTCACTATCCATTGTTACGAATTCATCCTGCTTAAAGACAGGACAGTAGAATCTTTGAGGGATTGGATGAAAATTAACAAATAGAGCAAGAAAGAACCTTACTGGGTGCACTCATGGAAGTTGAGCAGGGGTCAAGGTTGTTTCTATTTTGTCATGTCTGAGTTGCTAGTGTGCTGGGGGCCCTATTTTGGATAAATTGGTGTTTAAGTATATTTAAATGAATGGTCTGGATAAAAGGCTGATGCTAAACATTGATTGGTGGATAATTCTGCATTTCTTTCCTAGGATGTTATCTCAAAAACTGAATGATATCCATTTTAATTTTGATTGGTTTTCTTCAGTTTTCCCTTTTGTACATACAATTGTGACAGTCTTATCTTTTGTTGCAAACTTTCCATGTTGCACATACGATTGTAACAGTCCTATCTTTTATTGCAAACTATCTAGTATGTAGACAAGAGGTTTGTAATTGCAGTGTAGTTGAATTTCAATGCAAATTTTTAATTATCATGATTATCATCTTAATTCAACTATTGTATTCATTTTTCCTATTACCCTTGTCTGCTTAAAGGGAATGTTTGACTGATCTGGCCCAGTCTCCAAAAGGGTTGCCCACCCCTGTTTTAGTGGAAAGGTCATTATACTATGTTTGACCCTTATCATCTTTTAAATATATTATATATTCAAATTAACACATTGTAAAAAGATCTTTAGGATTTGTATTTTATAGCATGGATTTGTGGTATCTGAAGTAAATTAATATTAAATGAGCAATAGATATCTCATTTGCATAATTAGTTGCTAGCTGATGGAAAATTTCAATCAACAAATGCAAAAGCAGTTTATCAATAATTTTACCTTATAATCTTCTTTCCAAACTATGATATTTTCAATTGACACTCTAATTGTTTTCAAAAAGAGAAATGGCAAGGAGCACATTTTAAAAGGTTTATTGTGATAGACCAATTATAAAGTGATGTGTTGGGGCAAAAATTTTGGAATCAAATATCACGATTTTCTTTCCACTCAACATTTATACTTTGCATTAACTAGCCCCCTCCTTTTGAAAACTCATCCATTTGAAAAGTCATATTGTAAGAGAATCGTTATTTACAGGCAGTTTGTTCCATTGAAGGAGAAAATTTTACCCTGAGCTGTTTCCCTTGCAAATATAAGATAGGTAATCTGAGAAGATCATCTAAAGCTTAAAGTGCTTATTGAAAAAAGTTCACTTTTCCTATTTTCCACAGAACCAACTATTGAACCTTGCGGCTTAAAAAAAGCAAGAGTGACTGACATTTCTTTTTGTTTGACTCACAGTGATGTTTCTTGGTAGAAGTTTGGAGAAATAATCTTTTAAACATTATGCCACTGTGTTTATTTTATACAATTATGCCCTTTTTGTATAATAAAAGCAAAGAATGTCCTTTATATGGCATCATAAGCAACACACCAACAGAATTATGGGACATATCTTGTTCATAATCATTAAGCACAAAACAATACTGCTAACACGCATCCTACTAACAATAGGGGTCATCAAAATTTATTCTTTTTTGCTATCTGCTGTATCATTCTGTTCAGCATCAATTTCTAAAACCTTCTCCTTTCTGTGCTCAGGAAACTGCTCCCATGGTGTCCTGAAGTCAAATTTTCTAAATTCTTGAGCCAGTTCAATGGGCTCTTGGACAATTCTTTTCAATTCATCATCATACCGAAGCTGAAATGCAACATGCATATCTCAATAGATAGTTCTATGTCTTAATCTTTTCAAGATCTCAGAAAAGTTACTTATAAATTATTTTAAATTTCTGAAGAAAAAGGTGAATAATTAAGATCAAAATTTCAATAGACAAACTTAAATTGATTATAGCAAGTTGAAGAAAATAACAAAATTTTGGTTTAAATTTCATCTAGTAATTTTAGTATCAAAATTGCATTATATAAATACCTCGGTGTACCCAGAAAGGGGGAAATCTTTCCTTTGTGGGTGGCCTTCAAAACCATAGTCTGTAAGCAGTCTTCTAAGATCAGGATGATTTGCAAAGAACACACCATACATGTCCCATAACTAGAAAACAACAAGGTTTGCATAGTCAACTGTCCCCTGAAGGTAATTCACTTAAAAAAATTTATTTAGGGGTCTTAGAAAAAGTTATAAAATGTAATTGTAGAGGAATCAATGTCAACTCAAGAAAAATCATTAAAAACACATGCAATGCCTTATTCAAAAATTAGGAATATCTAGCCTCAGCAAAAATTATTTGGTTTCTATAGAAAAGAGTTTAAAACATCAATTATTCGCTGGTTGTCATTCCCCATTTCAAGGAGGCCTTGCAAGGAGCAAAATGTGGGCGTTTAACAAACTGAGCAACTTCAACTTGGCACTTGAATGGGCAACAAAATCAAGCAATCGAGCTCCTAGAACTTTCTAGGTGTGTGTGTATGCTCTTGAACAAGATTGAGTGCCTCTCCTTGCAAGGCCTAATTTCAAGCTACAATCTTGGCAAAAAATGCTGAGACACTTGCAAAAAAAGAAGCTACTTACAAATCACCCACCTCCTTTCCCCCGAATCAATGTTTTGATTGGATTGGTAACTAATGTTGTAATCCCCACTTATTCTGTAACCATCCTAAACAACATTGACCACGGGGGGAGGGGGGTTTAGGTCACCAGCGCACATTATATGAAGATATAGCATGCAAATTCTCTTTTCGATCATATGTCTAAGCTATTTTTTGCCAAGATTGTAGATGAATGGAATGTTTGATTAGTTATTCAAAAATCAACATCTTCCAGCTGAATGAAAAGCAAATACCGACCTCTCTTTCAAGCCAGTTTGCTGAGTTGAAAACAGGCACAGCAGAATCTATTGGTGTTAGCTCATCTGTGTATGTCTTCACCCGTATTCTGGTGTTATATCTCAATGATAAAAGGTTATACACAACCTGTTGACGAAAGAAACATTAGTTGCTAAAGGTTTCTATTTATAGAGATTTGATTGAAGCATATTTTAACAGTTAGATAGTTGTTGTGCAGCATTTGAAAGAAAGGTTTAAAGAAAGCATGGTTTTGCAGTATTGCACTGCCCCTTTTAATTGCTATGGTCTGATTCTGTATAATTCAAGTGTCAGGATCGTCTGCACAAATGTTTTGTAACAATACTTTAGGGGTGAAGCATATTGTGTATTCATCTTTTTGAGCTGCATCAATGGCATACAATGCAAGTCAAGTTTATCAATATAACTGAAAAATATTGCTTTTTTGTTAATAGCTGCCCGTGCTATTAAAACATCTTTCCTGGTAGGTTATTTTATTAAGAGATTCACATTTTTATAGTATTTATTCAGTTTTATAATGGCCATAATAAGGATTGCTGAGAAAGGAGATCAAATATATGGCTAGAAAACTTTTAATCTAAGACAGGAATATAACAATAAGATAAAAGTAATAACAAAATCTAGATATCTACTGAATTGTCTTTGACCTGTTTCATAAAAACTTACAAAGGCTTTGTTTAGCTGGACATGTTTTGCTAAGTAAAGAAGAGTTGGTTAGCAACGTCTTGCTGAGAGAAACTTACATATTGCCCATGCAGACAAATTTTCTATCTGCATGCTTTTGCAAATTGGCCACACAAAAGCTCTAGGTAACAAAGTATATCATAACACTACAAATTTCCAAGTCAACTGATTGAAGATTTTCCTATTCTAATGGAAGATAGATGATGATGATAATGAAAAAAACTTATTCTATAGATAATGAAGGTTGAGAAAATGTGTAATTTTACCTCAAAACGGTAGGGTTTGGAAGGTATGTCAACTACAGTCATGTCCATGAGCTGCTTAAACTGGGAATTTGTATGATCTCTTAGAAATTCTAATATGGGCAATATACCATCAGGGGAAACAAGGATCTCTAATTCATTTCCTAATACAACTTGAGCACCCTGTACAAATTTTGGCATTGATTGTGAAACAAACTGTCCAAATTCAAGCAATTTTGTTTGCTGAGCATCTCCTGTGAAAAACAAAGGACCAAAGATGTAAAATATGTTTTCAAAACAAACGAAAAAAAACTAGCCACCAAATATTTTAAAGAGATTAAGTAAGATTAATACAAGATCCTTTTAGTTTATGTGTAACAGAATTCAACATTGTAACAGCAAATTATTATAAAACCTCTTTATTGTAGTGAACAAAAAGCAATGAATGATTGGGCAATTTGTGTAAAAATCTGACTGAAATGTGGAGGACAATCAAATCAGCATATCATCAAACAAGATGTGCACATCCATTAAGTTTGCATTAAGCAATGTTGACAGATTCTTCTAACTGTGTTTTTTAGAGCTTTTCTCCACACATTCATGCCATATTTCTTTTTTCACTGCTCTCTAGTCTCCCTTTCACATCTAGCGGTAAAATCAACAGATTTGCAACTGTTTTCACTTATCAGTTATAACAAATATACAGAGGTCAATAGCAGCTTTTACAACTGAAATAAATCAAAAGCATATTACCTTGTGTTGAGACAGCATTGCTGCACAGCCTTATTGGTTTTGGGGCTTTCAAAGCTAAAGCTGCCAAAATGTGTTTTGCTTGTTTTCCATTTATGCCTGTTTGAAAATAGCAAATCCATTTGAAATAAAAAAAATTAATATCTTGTTTGTTGGATTTAACTTATCACTATTGGTTGGTTGGTAGCTTTTCAAGAGGCAGATTGTCCAACAGAGAACTTTGAATTTGAATAAAACACTCAAGTTTAAGACATCCATATTTGTCAGGGTGGAAGCAGTGTAAAACTCAAGCCAGATATACCTCAATAAACAATAGAAAAACAACGGTAAATAATAAGTCCATGCCTGATATATTTGGCAGGATGTGCCAATGGGGGGGGGGCATGGGGGCAAAGCTAACGAGTGAGGTAGGGACCTATTTTACATAAGCAGACTGTTTCTATCAGTAATAAAATGTTACTTGGCCAAAATCTTTAATCGATACATCCAAACTTTTTTATTCTATTCTATACACTAAACTGACTGAATAAATGCTAAGATGAAAATAAATGCTGAGGCTAAGTGGTAAAAGAACTAAAATTTTGAATTTTTTGCAGCTTTAGCAGCGATGTGTTTTATGTTTAATACAAGTTGATTCTTTAGCAATTACACAATTTCTGCATTTAAAGTGTTAAGTTTCATTTTTTGGAATGAAAATTGGGTGTGCACTCTAAAAACTTTGCAAAATAGCAAACAATGGGAAAAACTTGTCTTAAATTTTAGTAAATTTGCAATCTAAGTTATATAATCATTTTGCAGAATTTTAAGAGCTAATCTTTATCTTGACGCTAAAATTTCTAGACTTCCGAAGTTCAAAATTTTCCCAAAATGATCAATTTCATCCCCCAGTATACCTTATTTTAGATAAGGTTGTGTGTGATGTGATGGTGGCAGTGTGTGGTGCTGCCCTGTTGAGTTGTTCTAGTTTAAAGCCTTTTAAAAGACAATCACGTGTCACAAAAACAATACTTTGTTGTTTTCAAATTTCTTACCTGTTCTTCCTGAAAAAGATTTTGTACTGGCAAGGCGTGAAGTTGCAAGAAGATTTCTGCAGAAACTGGAGGTGAACGCCATTTTGCTTCCTCGCTCTTAGCGATTTACCTCAGTTTCGTTTCAGCCTCTTCATCAAAATGAAAGTTGCAATATCAAACATGGCGGCGGTGGTGAAGAAGTCAAGGCATGGAAATGGCTGGCAATGTCATGTCTTTAATAAACTACATTGAATTGGAAACAATGCGATTGTAATTTCCCACAATTATAGGTTTTTTAGGTACTATGGAGAAATCCAAGCACCATAAAAGTTCCTCGAAATGTCTCCCAGACTGCAACGTAAGTGTGGAATTTTTGGCTGATATTGCTGTATAGTGTTTTTAATGATTACCTAGTTTTGTTTTCGCCCAATAGCTCAATTAAAGTTCCTTCCATAAGCCAGCATTATTTTCTTGATTAATATTTATTTATTTATACACCATCTTGTAGAAACTTGGTATTCTTTGAGCTAAATTTGTAAATTTGTTTTGCTGAAGTTTGAGTTGTTTGATCTCTCATCTTGTGGTATATGGACGACACAACCTCAGAGTTGCATTTTTTGTCATTTTAGGCCAGTTGTATGGGAGTTAATGCTGATGGAACCAAAGCTCTTCTTGCTGGGTATGCAAAATCCAGCATCTCTTAAGTTGCATTTATTATTAGTGTCACAGAATGTGCCAGAATATTTTCTCTTGAAATTTGTTTTATGTGACAAACTGTAAAATCCATAGAGTCTCTTATGAACCACACAGCTTTAAACAGACTTAAGCAAGCATTGATTTAATCCTGCTAACAATACCTTTCACAAGCTGATCAAGATAAGTGCAATCATGGCTATCTAAGCACAGCTGGAAGCAATGGCAAAGTAATCCAAAGGTTTAAAGGCTCATGCCTCCTTTTTGATAATAAATGTTTTGCCCCTTTTTGGCAAGAAGAACCCCTTTTATGTGAAGGGTGCCACTTTTGCATGTCCCTTCTCTATAGACCAAACAATGTCCCTTTTCCTTCATTCTCCACATTTAACCATATATGTATATCAGTATCAATATAATTATCAATATAAAAAACAAGTTCATAATCTTATCAATAATACATAAATCTTAAGATTTTAGCACTTACAGGTTTAAACCTACTTTTATTCATTTGGAAAGTGGGAAGTTTTGTAATCTCTTTTTCTTTGTGTTCCTTTTATATTCATAACCATGTATTTAATTTTGATCATCAGGCGCAGGTCATTCACCCTTATCAACTTAGATGATCCAAACCTTCCATACAAACGATATGCTCAGAATAACAAATGGGAGCCAAGTGTCCTTGAATGGAATTCATCGTACCACAGCAGTGATCTCTTTGCAACTGTGGTTTGTATGCCTTTCCACAATTTGTTCTTAAAATTTGGAGGCTTTGAAATTCCGTGCCAGCCAAAAGGATGTACCAGTATTTTCAGTGAAAAAATTAGAATCAGCGAGTTATGAGAGCGATTGCCCATCCAACAATATTTGTTAGAGGAAAAGACCTCTGGTTATAAGAGTTTCCCTTTTCCAAGGAAAACACATGCAAGCAGGTCACTTTTGTGGCATGTTACTACATTGCAATGTATGGCACTCGCTTGTTATAAATCACTTGCTTGTTTGTTCAAAAAAATTTCACCTTAAAATGACCTACCTATAAAGGTCTGAAAGTAGCTTCTACAAACAAAGATTTTGTCTTAACCTATTGATTCAATTGGTCACCAGTCAATCTGATTTAATCACAATTGTGACCTTCTGAAACCTAAACCATAAATTGGTCACAGACTTTGGTCTAGCCTTTGTAGTTTTTCTCTCGAGTATTTTGCTGTGGGCAGACAGGAAGTTTTATGTTCCCCATAATTAGATCTCTCTGGTTTGTTGTTCCCCAAAGAGGGATGCAGTATCCTGTTTTGTTTGGTGTGTTAATGTAGTAAAATGTCAATGTTTTCTTCTAAAAACTCAAAAATATATCACTTTTCAATGTGTATCATTATACAATGCCCTTCTGTCATTTGCATATAAGCATCAATGAATAACAGCTTTTTGATGCAGGGTAGTGGATACTTGTCAAATCATCCCTCAAATGTGGCTTATAACCAATTTTCCATAAACAGAAAATCCAAGCATCTGTTTGTAACAATGATTTTTTTAAGATCTATAGTTTCTCTTGTTTCTGTTAATACAAACTTTTTCTTGTTCTCTGAAATCTTATTGATCTTGATATTCTTGAGATTATTTATTTTATTGTGGTACATATTATAATGATTCAAGAATTTACAGGCTTTTAGAGGCACAATTTCTTGTCAGTCAACTGCTCAGCATTATCAATAGTCTTGTTTATGATCAGGAAAACATTGCAAATTAGCCTCATATTGATGATTTGATATGAAACAATAGGTCTATTGTAAAAACCAACCAATGGGAAATTTATGCAAAACATGTCAAGATATAGTGCCTTTAACTGCCAGGGGAATCAGTTTACAGCTGTGAAGCTTAAGCTAACCAATGAAGTATATGGTTTTGTTATTGATATGAAAGAAGAAGTAATGCAAAAATTAGATACGGTGAAACTCATTCAAAATATTAGATGATGTCTGAATTAACACACTTCTGACAACTCTTCATAATATAATTGCATCTTTGCTCTAAGGCAACACTGTAGATAAATATTGATAAAAAAAAGACTATACACAAGAAGGTTTTTTTAAACCACAGTGGTGCTTAATGTCAAGTGTTTTTTTAGCTGAATCAGAAAGTTGAAGTCTGGAGCTACAAGGAATTGAGCAATGCCCCAAGATGTGTTCTTGGTAGGCACACACGCGTTGTAACGTAAGAATATTTTTCATGGTCTGTTTTCAAATGTCATTTAGTAGACTTTCAAAGAATATATTTTGCTGCTGTTTTTTGCAATTTCCCTGACCCCACAACATGTGCTCTTACCATTTCAATTTTCAGTAATATTTTATCAATTAATTGGCAAGGGTTTTTTGAAATTGCGGCCTGTTAAGTATGATTTTTATTACTGTCTTTATTACATTGGTTCCTAGTGTTCCAGTAGCTGAGTATGAACATCATACCCTTAGATATTGTGTAAAAACTGGTACATACTGTTTGATTGAGGCTGATACAATATTTTCCCGAATTGATTTTAGATATGAACATTGAAGAGACGTATTGGAGTACAGATAGACTTGGAATATTCACCTTACTTTGATAATGTTTCTATTCACAGTGATTTAAACTGGAAAACGTCAGGTACAGAAGATGCATCAAGAATATTGTTAACATGCTCTATGGATACACAGATCTATCTCTGGGATCTCAGGTAAACTTAAGGTGCTTGTTATATTGTAAGCTGATAGTATCTTGAGCTACTTTTACTTCTCTGTTAGGAAATAGCCTGAGAAGCAGTATAATACGATATATTTTAAGCAAAGATGGTACAGTAGGCCCCAGCTAAAGGCAAACCAGCTTTTTCAAGATCTAGAGTATTCTTTGTTTGAAATTTAACAGTGCACATGGTCAAAGAACTAATTCCAATGGGTATATTCCACCATGCAACAGAGTTTGTAGCTCAAATTGCCAACATGCAGACTGCTATTGTGTATGGTCCTTGGTCATCATGAAATATTTCATGAAGGTACCTTTTGTATTAAGAACCATGTATATTGTTTAGCCTTTAATGTTTTTAATACGAAGTGCTGTGTAACTGCCTTTTGGTCCTTAAATTGTTAGGTTGTTCTTTGCAGGGATTCACTGTTATACTACAGGCTAAAACACCACTGGGTTTTATTGTACCTAGAATAGGGAGTGGGGGGGGGGGCGTGTTTATATATGCTGTTATAATTTTTCAAACAATTCTTAATTGTTTACAATCTTTGTTCTGTGCTAGTTTTGATTATTTCGTTAAACTTTTTGGAAAGAGAAGGGTTATTTTATGTATTTGTTAAACTCATCCTGCAGAATATTTCGAATCCATCATTTCTTGACTGAGTTTCATTTAACTTCGGAGAAGTTTCCCTATTTTCAGCAATCGATATAAGACACACCTTTATCTACAAATATATTTCTTTTTTGTTAATATATATATTAGTTTTGTGCATTCATGCGAAGGTGAAGAAATTTTTGCAATTCTTGCCAACATGTATACACGTAAATTGCCTAATGAGCAAAAATTAATGCAATTAAATAAGGCCTTTGTACATAAATGAAAGATAATTACGACATCTAGAGCATAACTCTTCATCAGGTAAAAAGAAGATTAAAAAGAAAATAAAAGAGTAGAATTGAAAGATTAATTATGTGGAATTTGGTAGAAATACGACGTAGAACGCAAGACGAGGTGGAAATATGTGAGGGGGTAGAAAGCGTATAGATGAGATTAGTTACAAAATGATAATAGCTGGTTAAGAAAAGATACGAAAATTGAACTACACGCTGAACTGATTATCAACTCAAAATGCCTGTCTAAATTTCTTTGAATAGCAGGCAGTTTGCATTTTGTTTCAATATCTTTAATTTCTTTTCCTAAATACTTCTACTTCCAGCCCCCTTTCCCCCCAGAACATTTTTGACAGTTCAATTAAATATCACAAAAGAAAACGCACCTTCAAATCTTCTGCATAATTTCATGAAATGACTAACGTTTTCAGTTTCAGGGGGTATGGCTGAATTAGCCTTTAACGTATGTGTCCAAGACTTTGGCAGGGGTGGTAGACTCTTTAAATGTCATTTGGTTAATTATTGAATACCTGGACGCTAATTATAGCCGTCTGTGGGGGGGGGGCGAATAACGTCGTGACAACAATACACTATGCTAAGCTCTTATTTTTCCTAACTAAGCTTTAATTCTCTTCACAGGGAACACAAGCGACCTGTACAGACTTTTTCAACTGTAGGTATGTGTGCTGTTGCAATATTTTTCAGATTCATTTGTTGCTTTTTTTCTCATGGTTTGGAAATATGGTTTTCTGTGTTATAAATTATTTATCAGAGAAACGTATTTCATTCTTACGGAAGAAAAGTCTTGTGACAAAAAAATATCAAGTGTCCGTTTCAGTTGTGAGGCTGTAAAAGTGGAGCATTGTTTCGTTTTTAATGGGTGTTTTTTGTTATAACGAAAATCATTGTGATATTATCATTACAAACGATCTTTATTTATGTAGAGGGTGACGTATTTGTGCAATGAAATGATCGAAGCAAGAATTTTTTAGCTTAAGTGTTCTTCGTGCCAATATTGAATTCAGCGACCGTTTTGAGAAGTACATCAAGTTGTAGACTCGGTTTTCCCTTGCAAGAACTGTTTTGAAAACCTCGGTATGCATAGGTTAACACATATGCAAACGATAGGGTCAGCGGCTGTCTTGAAGCCTAGAAGCGAGACCATAATGTTATACATATTGTGCTGTGTTCCTTCGCAGTGCCTCACGTTCTCTAAGTCGAGGAATGAGTACAGCATGTATGGGTAAGTAAACACGACATAAGTAACGACGAGCCCAAAACTTAGGCCAATGCTTCGGTACTCTTGGCGTAGCTCAAGGCATCGTCTCGACGTTAAAATGAGTCCGCGGCCGAGAGATCTTGAAGTGCGAGCATTAGAATCATGCTTGAGTTTATAGTTTAAGTAGCAGATCATCACTAAATGTACAACAATGCAGACGATGGACACTGAGGCGAAACTACCAGGAATGACGTATTTCTGGGTCAACGTGCCAATACCATCGTATAGATCGAAGACTCCCAGCGCAACGGACGCTGGGATGCATATAACCCATGACATGATGACAACAATGAGTATCCACGTCCGTCCGAAACAGCACTGTTCGGCTTCAGGGTGAAACACGGTCATTGACCGCTCCAAGGTGAGCAACAACACGTTGATCATGTTACAGTACACGCCGAATATCAACGCAGCAAAGCTAGTCGAGGCATTGTCTTTCAGGTATATCGGTATGACGGTGCGTGCGACAAGCACGAGAGCCAATGCAATGTTGCTGCATGAAATACTTATGAGAATGATCTTGAACGATCTTTGCTTCTTTTCAACGAAGAGAAAAACCAGTAGCAGTGTGTTAAGCAAAATGCTTGCACCACAAATGGACGCTATTGGCGCCAGGCATGTAACAAGCATGGTTGGCTTTGATGCTTTAAACCAAGTCGATGCGCTATTACCTTCACCGCTTTTGAACTCCGTGTGCTGGAAAGTCTTATTTTCAGTTGTGTGTCGCTAATCCTGCTGCAATAATCTCCATGCGATTCTGCTGTTCTAATCGGTTTGTTCTTTGTATTTTATGTCCATCGCCCAACTTCAGGTCAAGTCATCCGCCTTGTGGTCTCTTTCGGCGCTTTAGTGATCATATAATCAAGCTTATAGCTCACTACTTACATTGATGACGTCATCCTGTAAAAAATAATTCATTATTACATAAAATTAGGATTTAGCTAAGAATTGAACCCTCAAGATATAACTGCAGTTCAGTTCAGTCAAATCCGAGTTTAAGCTGACTGAGTTCAATTAGAGGTCGTTCACTTGAATTAAGTTAATAAGTATCAAATTTGAACAATTACGTTTGTAAGTCTTTTAATGAAATGCTAAAATGTTGCCTACACTTTGGCAGATTAAAATTCGATTCTGAGTAGAGGCTGAGTAGAGGTCACTATTCCACAAAAATTGAGCTTGCTAATAGCGATTATAGGTTTTGTAGCACATGTTCGATATTTTGAACAAATATTATAGTAATCAATTTGTTTAACATTGACGCTAAAAAGCTTTACACAATAAAAAAAAAATGATACTGTACTCGCTAATCTAAGCCAGTTGCGAGAATAAATACTATCGAATTGTATGCACACAAGATTTAGTGATTAAGATTTCCATACATTAGCATTAAGTTTTTAGACAAAATTGAAAACTCATTAATATGAACGATATCTTAGCTGTTTTGTGAAATCCAGCTATAGTGTGTCATGGTACCGTAAGAAAGCCAAGTTGTAGTACACACAACCTATAAACTCTGCATTTACATTTATCGTCATTCAAACATTAATTGGCTTGTTGAACTTACTGATAGATTTTAGCATTCAAACTAGAGCAAAGTGCTCTGTTGATTGTAAAAATCTTTTCAGGGAAGGGCCATCGATAGCATATAAAACAATTCCTATCTTAATAGCCGAGATTCTTTTCATATGCATGATAATATTTTTCTTCAAATTCTCGTGACTGTTAAGTGCTATATGTCACCAAATTCTTTCAAATTGCTGTCTCTCTCAAATTCTTTAATTTTTTGGTTTCTCTCAAAATATTTACCAAACTAGCTCATCACAAACAATCAACGACATTGAAAATTGGTGTGTTCCTTGGAAGATCTATCTGTTTCATTCATTAGAATTTGTGGCGTAGTAAGCATAGCGGTCAAATCTTTGATTGGCTGAGAGCTCTGTTCGCTGCCATGTTTTAAGCCAATCAGCACACAGGATTTTCACAACAAAACCGCCTCGCAGCTAGAATTAGGCCCATTTTCGCCATTTCAGCGTGTTTTTACCACATTGTCTACAAAAAACATTGCATGCCTCTACAAAGCCAATTTCCACTTTATATTTTGTCCAGTTCATCATCATGCGTTGCTATTTAACCTATATTGGCGCCACTGTTCGATCGCAAAAAATAATATAAAAAAACACCTCGCAAATGATCGGTAAATTTCGTGTCGAGATTCAGGTTAATTAGGTTTTTACCTCTCCCCACCCAAAACGCTATAGACATTTCACATTTAGACAAAATCAATTATATACTTACCTTAAATATAGGAATGGTTCATAATCCCGTCAAAGATGCACTCACTGTTCAGCCTTAGATTCGGCGGGGATCGCCAATTTAATCATCACAACGGTACGAAGGCTCTCATATTCACCCTCGAAATCAATAAATGTATCTTTGTCCTCTGGAATCAAAATCTGCTTCATAAAAGTGAAAAATTTTCAGCAACAACCCAAAGTAATTTCAATCATGATTGTCCAGACAATTGACCATTATTACTAATTTTATGTGATGAAAATGGCGAATACACTCACGCGGTAAGACTGGGATCTAATAAAATTTGAAAACGGCGGGAAAATCAATTTAGAAAAATTGACGAAAATGCATCCTTGAAATTTTCCCGCCGTTTTCAAATTTTATTAGATCCCAGTCTTACCGCGTGAGTGTATTCGCCATTTTCATCACATAAAATTAGTAATAATGGTCAATTGTCTGGACAATCATGATTGAAATTTTTTTGGGCTGTTGCTGAAAATTTTTCACTTTTATGAAGCAGATTTTGATTCCAGAGGACAAAGATACATTTATTGATTTCGAGGGTGAATATGAGAGCCTTCGTACCGTTGTGATAATTAAATTGGCGATCCCCGCCGAATCTAAGGCTGAACAGTGAGTGCATCTTTGACGGGATTATGAACCATTCCTATATTTAAGGTAAGTATATAATTGATTTTGTCTAAATGTGAAATGTCTATAGCGTTTTGGGTGGGGAGAGGTAAAAACCTAATTAACCTGAATCTCGACACGAAATTTACCGATCATTTGCGAGGTGTTTTTTTATATTATTTTTTGCGATCGAACAGTGGCGCCAATATAGGTTAAATAGCAACGCATGATGATGAACTGGACAAAATATAAAGTGGAAATTGGCTTTGTAGAGGCATGCAATGTTTTTTGTAGACAATGTGGTAAAAACACGCTGAAATGGCGAAAATGGGCCTAATTCTAGCTGCGAGGCGGTTTTGTTGTGAAAATCCTGTGTGCTGATTGGCTTAAAACATGGCAGCGAACAGAGCTCTCAGCCAATCAAAGATTTGACCGCTATGCTGGCGTAGTATGGTGACTTCCCTTATAATGTCATTTTAAACCACTTTCAGCAACTCTGTTCTAGGCACCTACCGTTTATTTGGGCTTGTCAATCTTTAAACTTATTCAAATTTTAAGGCCCTTAATTTTCAAAACATAATAATAGGGATGTCAATTAAGTTGTTTTAACATACTTCGTCGAGAATTTCACCTACCCACTTTGTGAAGGTGATTCGCTGCGAAGCTTATATATTCGATATCCAGAAAATTTTATAATTCGCTGGCAGCGCATATGTTTAGTAATCTACCGATGACTTTCGTAGCTGAATTTCTATGATAAGGATATATCATAGAAATATTTTAACTATGGGAATTATCAACTTAGGGGATGTGACACAAACACTGTCATGAACATTTGAAGTTTGTGTTGTTTAATTACCTTAATACTCTTATTATTAATCCCCTTTAATCCGCATTGCTAAGAAAGTTGCGAAGCAGAATTTTAAACCAAATGATCTGAACAATAAAGGAATTTTTCGAGAAAATTATCTTAGAAATATCCTGAAAATAATTGAAATAATCGAATTAAATACAGTTTTGAAAGCAAGCAACAAATAGCGTTGATTTTTGTATTTCACAAAATGTTGACTCAATGTTTATTTGACACGGTGATAGACAAGAGTATTCTTCGTTCAAAAGTTTAATATAAACTGGAAGCTTGAACGCTTCCTAAGATACCCATAGTACCATTCACAACTGACAAAGTCTTAGTTATCATTTTACATTTTACCACGCATCATAGCCATTTCAAATACCTGATAACATAAGAAATGTGGTTTTTTAAATCACTGCAATCTTGCAAACAGGCATTCCAGTTTTGCTGCATCAGCACTGCGTTCCTGCATCATCGAGAAATTCCACCAACTGCCGCCCTACAATATGCTGATGCCTTTACCTAAGCTCATTAAATGTTTTGTTCACTTGAAATATATCTTCAAAACAAACAATTCACTTTCAATCTGTTACCTCAGCTAGTCTGGATTTCACCACTGACTT